CAATCGGTCGGGATCCTGGGTGACCCATCAAAAGGAAGTCAACGGGCACGGCTTATCCGAGTAATCGCGATGGAAGAATATCATGCAGAAGCTTCACTGCCATTCCTATCGTATGCAGAAATTTCGCTTCAATTTCGATCTCAACAGACATTGCCGGGCCAAAAATGCAGAAAGTCGAAAGTGGTGACACGCAACCCTTCGTCGTTTTCTCTGGTCAAGAAATTTTTCACGGTAAAGCCATTCCTCAACAACCAAAACGTTCGCGTTCCGGAAAGAAACATCCAGCGTGTAATATCTCACAAAAAGGTTGTTATCAGAACAGTAAAATGATGTTTTTCGAGGAAATCACTGGCAAGGGTAAGCCGCTCGTGGTTTCTTCGGTGCAGGCGTGAAAATTGACCAAGACCAGTACTCAAACGGCGTACTAATGGAAGTAAATAAAACATTGATCCGACTACGTTTTCTGAAACATCTCATAGTCCTTCCAGCAGGACGCTACTACAGCCCACAGAGCCAAGTTTGCCCGCGAATGGTACCCGACTTCATTGGTGAAGAGGAATGGTCATCCTATTTTCCAGAACTTGACTCACTTGAATCCAACGAATGGCCCTGATTAGAAGAGGACCTGTCAAGTTTGCAGTCCAAGTTTGGAGTCCTAGAATGCAAAAGCTGGAAGACGGCTGGGGAGAAATGGTGAAGGGTACCTGCGTGCCACATGCGATCAAGTCGAAAGCAAACTTTGACTTCTATTCGCGCTCATGGGGTATATTTTGAAATGCGACTTTAGCATGTTGTAGCACATAGTGTTAGCTAACAAGCATAGAAATTCCATTGTCTTTCGCAGTTGGGAAGTTTCAAATATATTGCTATAAATCGGCGCAAATAATTTTGGGACACCCTGTATGTAAATGCCACCGGGTCAAAAGTGTATTCTTCACACCATTGGTTGAAGGCACAGTTCAAATTTCAGACGAACAGTGGAAGTGATAGTCCAGAATATCGGAAAGCGGCGAAGAAAAAGCAAAAATCGGTACATTTAGAGAAACATAAGGCTTCATAGTAGTAAAATTAAGGGTTTGACGAGAATGTGACGACAAAAGTTGCATGTAAGGAGCGTTTCGACGCGGTGCCCGAATGCGCGTGTCACTGCGTACAGTTGGCTACTGAACTTGCCTTTGGGCAACGTATGCAACCCGGTACGAATGGCGCAACCCTACAGTTTTTAAAACGCGATGAAAGTTCGTCCGTTTTACAGTGTGTATGGCAGGGCTGGTTTTGCGACCTCTTTTATATTATCTAGGCAGTTTTCTGGCCTGACAGCAACCTTTTGTTATCTTCTGGAGTCACAAGTTCTCCCAAGGAAAAATCTCAGAGACCACTTCTATCGTGACCTGTGCTTTTAAAAAGGAGTAATAAAATTAACTCGCAGAAAAACTGGAACATTGAGCGTATTTCAAGAAGTGCTTGAGCACTATTTCATTTTCCTAACCAGTATCGAATAATGTTTTGGTTTGCAGATCCGAGCCGCCATTAGGAAGAAGATACCGCAATTAACTATCTGATGGTGTTTTCCAGTTGTCTGCCGAGCAACGACTCGCAAGAAAGGCAATTTGAAAATACGAGATAGTCTGTATTGAACGGCCACTTTTCATCATCCCTCGACAGGGTAGAAACAACATTATCTGGTCTTCACATGAACAGTCCTCTAGGAACCAAATGTCACCTGAATCCTGTTGCTATGTTGCAGCAAGGCACCATCCTTCATCCAAAAAACTGGTAAAACTCCATGTGCTTCGCAGTTGAGATCGACCTGATAGCAAATAATAAAAATCTTATGAGATCTATTAGGAAATTTCAAGATATTAACAACAAATGTACCGGCTGTTGAGTTTCGGGAAACAAAACCTATTACCGCTCCCATTACATGAACAAAAATCGCTCACCTTTTCACCAACTTGATAAGGGCCATGAGAATGAGCGTACAGCCTCAAGTCACCATTTCCTTCGGTTGGCGCCTCATTATTATTGTGAAGAAAGTTGTTGTGACGTCCTTCAACACATCGTCTCTCGCAACGTTGCCTCGTCTCGAATCCAAAATTTACTCATAATGTTACATTGTACTCGACATATTAATTGTCATATCATATAACAACTTGTAATTCAAAAGATTCGCTGGCAATCAAAAGTAAAACGGGGTTATATTCAAGAATGTACTACTTTACTTACTTACTTACTATTACTTTGGTTTAACAAGTCGCAGGATTTCTTTTGTTTTCATTTTTCTAGCGCTCACATACTAGTTAACGTAAAGGACTGTGCGACCACAAATTAAAGCCAAAGATTATTACTGACCGGTTCTCGTTTCCACGGCATCCAGAATAGGTGAACTGTTTGCAAGTGTTCTTGCTCTCGTCGAAGTACCACATCGTTATTGCATCACGACATGGTCCAGATGAACGAGGCAATTTGCTGAAAATCTTCTTTACCAAAGTATTTCCACTGTTTAGTAACCGATCACTTCTACCATCCTTAATAATCACACAGTGTTAAACAATGATACAGACATCGATGAATTCCGTCAAAGCTCACGTCCCAGGCACTTCATGAAAAGGCTTAACATAGAAGG